CCCAGCTTGTTCCCTGGAAAGGACTCCACCAACTGAGTCCTCTGCCGCCCGCCCCCCAGCGCACGGGCTCCTGTCTGGGCTGTGAATTCCCGACACTAACAGGCAGAGCGAGCCTGGGCGGGGTTGGGTGGGTGCAGGCCTCCTCAGGGTCTTACCTCTGGGTGCCCCGGGCAGCTCTGCGGAAATGCTGTTGGGCTCCCCACCACACGGGCCAGGGGGGTCCAGAGGCCGCCTCCCTTCTCTGTCCCAGAGGAGCGAGCTCCTTGCTCCCCCGCGGGTTTCTTCCTGGGCAAGCCCTGCGGGCCGGGGCGCCCGGCTCCAGGAGAGGCCGCGACCCTGCAGCCTGAGTGGGTTGCACAGGCGCGTGGGGGTGTGAGGGTGGTGGGAGGGACCCTCGCGCACCTTGCCAGCAGGAGATTACTGAAGGATATCAGTCTCCAGATTAGCAGGAGAATGGAGTCCTCTGACCCTAGGTCCTTGCTAACCCAAGGAAGGACTGAAGCTTTGAGCTGTTTTTTTAAAAAAATTTACTTAGAGAGGTAGAGAGCGGAGGAGAGGGAGAAAAACATCAGTGATGAGAGAGAACCATTGATTGGCTGCCTCCTGCACGTCCCCCACTGGGGATCGAGCCCACAACCCGAGCATGTGCCCTTGACTGGAATCGAACCCTGGGCCCTTCAGTCTGCAGGCCAATGCTCTATCCACTGAGCCAAACCAACTAGGGCAAGCTTTGTGCTCTTGCCAGAGGTCTGCCCTGCTCCATCCCTGCCCCACCCTTCCCTGGTGCTCTGGACTTCTAGCAGGAACTTATACTCCTTCAGGCTGCCCTGCCGTTAACCCAAGAGGTGGCATTGGGGAAGATTTTATATACACATTAGAGGCCTGATGCACGAAATTTGTGCAAGGGTCTCCACTCTCGCAGCCCCGGCTTTGTCCGAAGGTCGTCCGGACGGTCGTTCAACCGTTCAGTTGATTTGCATATTATGCTTTTATTATTATAGATGTAGCTTGTATATATGCTTTTAAAAATTAATACCTTCCCTGGCCGGTTTGGCTCAGTAGATAGAGCGCCCATTGGCCTGCAGACTGAAAGGTCCCAGGTTCGATTCCGGTCAAGGGCATGTACCGTGGTTGCAGGCACATCCCCAAGTAGGAGGTGTGCAGGAGGCAGCTGATCAATGTTTCTCTTTCATCGATGTTTCTAAGTCTCTTCCCTCTCCCTTCCTCTCTGTAAAAAAGTCAATAAAATATATTTTTTAAAAAATTAAGGCCTGATTTAAGTACAGTGGAATTCGCCCTTTTTGGCGTGCAACTCTAAGTTCAGACCCATGCAATCAGTCATGTGACCACCACAGCCCACCCAACCCGAAGTCTCTGCAGGCCACTTGTCATCAGTGGCTTTCCCACTGTGTCCCTGGCACCCATGGCACAGCTTTCTGTGCTTCTGGGTTTGCCTTTTCTAGAACATCCTGGAAAAGGGGCCCGGGCTGTGCTTCCTGGCGTCTCTCACCGCATCACGGGAGTGGGATTTACCCAAGTTGCTGTGCTAACTCACAACTTGTTCCTTCTGTGCCTGAAAAGTGCCCACCGCCAGGGGCGGCAGCTCCGTCACCCATTCCCGAGACACCGTTGTTTCCACTCCTCGGTGCTGGTGAATAAAGTCCCACCGACACCCACGCTGGGTTTTGCGTGTTTTATTTCTCTGGGGTAGACCCCTGGGGGTGCGGTTGTTGGGTGGCAAATGAGTGTCGAGCTTTAGGAACTGCCTGGCGGTTCCCAGTGCGCCGGCCACCTCCCCACCCAGCAGTGATGTGTTTGTGTAAAAACACCTGCATTCCCACAGGTGAGCAGGTGTGTCCCAGGGGGCTCCACTTGCCCCTCCCCAGGATGAAGGATGTTGAACTCTTTTTCATGTTTATTTTCCATCCAAATGTCTTCTTTTTAAAAGAAAAATTTTTATTGGTTTCAGAGAGGAAGGGAGAGGGAGAGAGAGATAGAACCATCAACGATGAGAATCATTGATCAGCTGCCTCCTGCACGCCCCCTACTGGGGATCGAGCCCATAACCCAGGCTCATGTGCCCTGACCAGGTTGAACCGTGAATCATTGATCAGCTGCCTCCTGCACGCCCCCTACTGGGGATCGAGCCCATAACCCAGGCTCATGTGCCCTGACCAGGAATTGAACCGTGATCTCCTGGTTCATAGGTCGACGCTCAACCCCTGAGCCACACCGGCTGGACGAATGTCTTTGTTGAAATGTCTTTCTAAACCATGTTTCCCGTTTTTTTGTGTGTTGTTTTTTTTTTTTTCACATTGGGTGGTTTGTTTTTACTCTCGAGTCTTGAGAGTCCTTTGAAGATTCCGGGTCCAAGTCCTTTATCAGGTGTATGTTGTGTAAATATTTTCCTGGGAGACTTTGCCTGCCTTCTATCCTGGGACTCTGGGACGAGCTGGCGCCTCCTGAACCCTGTGGAGGCGCCAGCAGAAGCCTCGGCTCCACCCCTCCCTCACGCTGGCGACCAGGGTCTTTCTCCCACCCCAGACCCCTTCTACTCTGGAGCACTGCTAGTTCCAGCCCTCCCCGGGGACCCCGGGGCATCTGGGTGGGGTGCCCCAGGCCACATGCTGCTCCTGGCACGGTGTCTCTGGGTGCTCGGTCTGCATGGACACGAGAGGTCACCTGCAGAGGCCTTGGCACCCCAAGCCCCCACCAGCCGGCAGTGCCTCCCTGGCGACACTCCTGCCCAAATACTTATGCAACCGGTGATAAGGCGACTCGGAGACCATAATCCATCCTGAGTGACAGCTCAGCCCCACCCTCCCGCGTGCTTGCTGGAGGCCTAGTTGGTGGCTGTGTGGGGGTAGCGGTGGGGCAGAGGAGGTCTGGAGTGAGGGGCGCCCAGGCCTTTGATGTCACCTCTGTCACAGCTGCCCTGGCACAGGCTCTGCCCCTGGACAAGGCCCCAAGGCCGGGCCAGTGGTGACTTCACTACTGTGTGGGGAGCAGAGGGAGTGAGGACTGGGGGGGACCGGGCCCAGAGTGGGGGCCGCTGGCTAGAGCAAACCTGAGCCTGACTGCTCCCCGCAGCACCCCAAGGGCCCTGGGGCCCCTGCCCCAGCCACACTGGAGGTGGACGGAGGTGCTGAGGACCCTAGTCTCTGCTCGGGCAGGTCAGGGGGCAGATCCCCAGCTCGGAGGAGTCAGATGAGAGCCCGGCTTCCTGGAGCCATCCAGGAAGTGACCCCCGGAGCCTGTGGGGACACTTGAGTGATTGTGCCCAACAATGGACAAAGGAGGCTGGGGTTTCCAGAGCCCGGATACCTTACACCGCCCAGCCTGCCGATCTGGTGAGCCCGCTGAAACCTATAAAGCCGGGTCCGCTGGTGCTCAGACACAGTCAGGGGCCAAAGACAGGCATGGGGATGCAGTCCGTCCTTCTGGGCCGGGTTCTGGTGCTGCTCTGGGCGTCCACGGCTTGGGCTGATGTCCTGGTGCAGCCAGATTTTGATGCCAAGAAGGTACCGGAGGCCTCCGTGCTGTGCTGTGCTGTGGTGGGGCTGGGGGCTGAGCTGCTGAAACCCGCAGCGATGGGGGAACAGACAGAGCCGTCTCCCCCTGCGAGGCCTCCGGCCTACAACCCTTTACACTTGCTCTCTGTGTAACCCTGAAACCACCCTGTGGGGGTGATTGCTGACCCACTTCACAGTGGGGCAGGGAGGCTCACAGTGGTGGTGTGACCTGCCCCCAGTACTTGCAGAACAGGCTTTCCTCCACCCGGGTCTCAGACCCAAGAGGTGGACACTTTGGAGACCCGCCCTGTGTCCTCAGACAAGTCCTGGTTCTGGGTTGAGGCCTTGTGCTCTGGGCCCTGAGCCTGCTGGTCACCGAGCTCCTCCCAGTTCTCAGGCCTCTGGTACGTGGTCGCCATGGCCTCCGACTGCAAGGTCTTCCTGGGCAACAAGGACCACCTGCTGATGCCCACCACGGCCGTCACCGCCGGGGCTGGGGGCAACCTCAACGTCCACATGGAGTTCCCGTGGTGAGCCTGGCGCGGTGCCGCTGGCGGGTGGGGGAGCCTGGGCAGCTCGGAGAGTGAGCGGGCTGTGCACCCTCAGGGGTGACGGCTGCAACCGCAAGGACGCCGAGTTCCTCAAGGTGGGCGCCGAGGGACACTTCAGAGTCCCAGGTAGGTCCTGCCCCACCGCCTTCCTAGGCCCCTGATGCCGGTTCTCCATGGGGTGATCATGGGACTGTCCTTATACCCAGGACCCCTCCATCACCATCTCCTGCCCCGATCCCTTCGCCCCTGGGAGCAGAGGCCAGCGCGGGTGGGAGTTGGTCCGGGGCCCCTGCAGCTCTCCTCCTCCCCAGACTTGGGCTACCTGGACGTGCGCATCGAGGAAACGGACTACAGCTCCTTCGCCGTGGTCTACATCTACAAGGAGCTGGAGGGGGCGCGCAGCACCATGGTGCAGCTCTACAGTGAGGCCCGCCGGCCCCGCCCACTCATGT